GGCTCAAGAACCAGCTTTGTAATCTTGGTGTGCTCAGCACCCCACTCCTGGTACCAAATCCAGACTGCACTGGTTTCTGTAGCATTTCCTACATTCCATTTTTCTCATCTGAGAAATTGCATCACCTATCTCAGAGCAGGGCTGCAAGGATCCAGTGTGCTAATCTAAACACATGAATCACTCAGAGCAGTACAGCCATGCCTGTGTATCCCAGGTGCTCAGTTCTGGGACCCCTGTGAAGATCAAAGTCTGCCAGTGAGCAAGGTCTTCTAGAAAATGGCATAGTAGAACACTTATATCAGCTCTACATGACAGCGCTGCCTGCCACTTGTCATTGCTATGTGGACAGCTGTCCTATGTTGTGTCAGGGGTGACAAGAGAGAGGCCTGTGTACCTTCAATTGTCACAATTTTCCCCCAGATATTTTCAATCTTCAGTTGTTTGGCTCTCTGGATATAGAATCTGCAGATATATGGGGCTCACCAGGTGTAGTGCCAGGTCAGTGCTGTATAGATGGATGGGATGGAAGTGAACCCTTGTTCATTAGTTATTCAGTTCAATTGATTTTTAATTAATAGTGACTTTGGATGTATGCAGTGTAGTGCTTTGATATAACTGTACACTACTGAGAGTTGAAGTAAGTAATGTATTCTACGTCTCCCAAACTGCACACTGAAACCGTGGCAGCAAACAAACCAGCGACCCACTCTCTTCCCTCTCTCCTTTCGCATGTGTGCCCGTGTCTACACATTGTGCGTGTTAGGGAACAACCTCAGCTGCTGTTCCTCAGGTGCCCCTACCTTGTTTTTGAGGCAAAGTCTCTCACTGGTCAAGTCGACTAGGCCGTCTGCCTTCCCAGGGCTGGGGGTACAGGCATACTTAACCACCCACGGCTTTTTCACATGGTGCAGGGAACTCGGTCCTCACGCTTGCATGGCAGGATCTTTGCTCACTGAACCTCTCTCCAGCCTTGGTTTAAGGACATTTTTGTGAACCCAGGAGCCCATGCTAATTCTTGTTTTGTTTAGTTGTTTTTTTTCTGTTGCTATTTGGTTTTCAGTGTTTTTGAAACAGGCTCTCCCTGTAACCCCAACTGACCTAGAACTAACTATATAGACCAGGCTATTCTCAATCTCACAGAGATCCGCCTGCCTCTTCTTGAGTATTGAGGATTAATGATGTGTGCCACCATGCCCGACTCTTGTTTATTTTTTTGGAGACAGGCTTTTGCCATGGAGCCTGGACAAGCCTCAAACTCCTCCTGCCTTCTGAGTGCAAGAATGACAGGTGTCCACTGTGATGCTTGGCTGTCAGCATTTGTTTTTGTGGTTCTCAGACTGGAAGGGATAAATTGGCAGCACAGCCTGATCAGGGTTCCAGCCTCCCTTCTCTAGCCTCCTCTGCATTCTCGTATGTCGGCCCTTCCCTGCCAACGCCTGAAGCAGCAACCCAGAAACCCAGAGGATCTGTCCTAGTCACAGCTAGTAAGGACAGACTGGCTTCCAGGGGGATATCCCCCTCTCTTTTTTAAATATTTTATTTATTATTTTTATTTTATATGTGTGAGTGTATTGCTTGCATGTATGTAAGTGCACCCATGTCATGTAATGTCCACAGAGGTCAAAAGAGGGTGTTGGGTCCCCTGGAACTGGAGTTAGGATGGTTGTTAGCTACTATGTGGGTGCTGGGAATGAAGCCCAGGTCCTCTGCAAGACCAGTCAGTGCTCTTAACCGCTGAGCCAGCTCCCTTCCCCAGCCCCTTCTTCCCTTCCCTCTCCTTTCCTCTCCTCCCTTCATCTCCCTTCCCCCTTCCCTCCTTCCTTCCCTCCTTCCTCCCTCCCTCCTTCCTTCCTTCCTTCCCTCCTTCCCTCCTTCCCTCCTTCCTTCCTTCCTTCCCTCCTTCCTTCTTTCCTTCCTTCCTTTCTTTTTGTTTGGTT